TCAAATAACTAAAATCATTACGTAAGAGAAGCAAATACCTCATAGACAATTGAAGATGTTTTGAAACATAAAAGGCAAAAATGCTATACATAAGACCAAATGGGTCTTTATAGATATTCTCCCAAACGTTGGTTTTCGGTCAAAAACCATATCTATTCTTTAAATTTAAGATGCGTAGTTTATATTAATTGTTCCACCACAATGCAGAAAAAGATGGAGCCTCCAAAAGAGGTTTAAAATATATGATGAATTTTGAAACTCTAATCTTTAGGGTTATTGATGTTGGGTTTTACTATTCAATTGACTTATTGTTTGTTTGACAAGTTAGTTACTCCAAAAGGAGATCTATTTGTTACTCGATTAGCTGACAATCAGTTTGGCAAATTAGTTATCCCAACATCAGGGGGAGAAGTGAAAACAGCTGATTAATAAATTAAATGGACGACATCATTATCTCATTAGATCCTCAAAAGCATGAACCTGAAGTTCAAGAGATAATGTTTAAAGACCAAATATTTGTATGACCAAAATGTGTAATTATATTACATGCAAAAGAATCTTAATGTTTTGATGTTACATCCCTTAAGGATCATCTACCACTATTGTTTAATTTAATATCCATTTGATAAGTGGTAGAACCGTTGATTCCAATGATAAGAATTCTCGTAAATTATAAAGTTTAAATCTATTGAGATGGAAAATACGAGCGATTAAATGGTTTTCCAATATTGTGAAAATAAACTTCCAGAAGATGAATATAGGTATTTGAGAAACTTAATGATTGTGAGATCTAAATGCTAAAGAAAGATGGAATCGATCGGCAATGAAATGTCGACATAAAATTTGCTTATCTTTGGAGCAGTTAGTAAAATGAATAAAATGAGGATCATAAAACTGAAAGTCTGTTGGTGAGTGCAAACATTAAACTTTTTGGGCATAACGAATTAAAAGACGCAATACACACACCAAAACATGTGTAAGTAGAATTGAAGTTGCTTGAAACTGTAAAAGTCTTGGCAAATAATATCCCAGCCTAATATTGTTGGATGATTGTGCAAACGATAGATAGCAACCTACTTGTTGCACAAGGTTTTCCAAAGTCCGGATGTTAATCATGAGGAGATATATTCTCTTGTGGTGGATGAAAAAATTCTTCTGTTATTTGCTACATTTGGCAGCAAATGAAGACATAAAAATACGTCTATTGAAAATAGTGATCAATTGAAACTTGAAATGATACTTAAGATTTTGATAATGACGTCTATGAAATTTTCGAAGGATTCAATAAAGGACATGGTTCCGATTCTTGAGAAATTAATTCGAAAGACTTGCGCAAATACGAGTGTCTTCATGTTTTTAGACAAATATATAGGTGCATATTTTTTGAATGTTTGCTTTATGCACTCATCTTTATATTTGTTTTATGAGAATATATTATGTTTGTTTATTTGTGATTGCTATATGTCTATAGGATCATATTTATATGATATTGATATGTGTTTATTATATACATTTGTGTTTAGAACACAATTAACACTAAACTCTTGAAGAGTCTGAAAAAGGCTGAATATTATCGAAACTTATTATAGAGTTCGAATAGCCTCAAAACAAATATAACTCCTGAAGAGTTCATTGTAATTATTAAGACTTCAAAAGAAGTTCAAAGGTTGCTACTTGATTTAGTTTGACCTTAGTATATATACATTTAACTCATGTTGAGAATACTTAATTAAAGTCTTGATATGCGTATAGATCCTTTATAGACCTTCTATCAATAATGTAAACCGATTTGGTCCTGAGGTACCATATTATAAAATATCGGTTTATTTTATCAATTACTGAAGACATTGAAATATTACAAATATTGATACATTTGAGGTACAATGGTTATGGATCTCTGTTATTCTGAATCCCTCAAGATTAAACATGGCATATGAAGATCATTGTCTGCATGGGAAGTTGAAGTGGCCGTGTAGTAAATTTATCTACTATGGATATCAACATTGGTGAAATTAGCCAAAATCTTTGCATGCAACGAGAAGATTACAAGTGATATACTCAGCAGGGGGAGTAACCCACGCTGTACTCTTTTTCCCTTGATCGAGGTTTTGTCCCAATGGGTTTTTCTGACAAAGTTTTTAACGAGATAACGTCATATTCGGGAATGTACTCTTTTCCTTTATTAGATTTTTATCCGACTGGGTTTTTTAGGAAAGGTTTTAACGAGGCATTATCCCAAGGAATGGACATCCAAGGGGGAGTGTTATAAATATTTAATTTGGATGTCCACAAGTTAAAAGAGTTATACAAGGAATCAACTATTTAGAGATAATATTTAGTTAGCTAGATCTTATCATTATTTGATGTTATCCTTGTATCTATTTTATCTTTAAAAGGAGATCATTCTCCACAGAATAAGACACACATGAATTCTTTCTTCTCTCTCTTGTTCTCGTCTTACTTATTCTTTCTTTACAGTTCAATATCTCTTATTGTTTTGGTTTATTTTATAACATTAATGATATTCTTATATTTATCTAATCCACCACCACTGGACCATCTTTACCACCACTAAAGCCATCCCACTATCGCTTCACACCACCCTACGATATTTTTATATTTATATTTAAGCCACCCCACTAACACTTCCCACCACCACAGGACAGCTGCCGACTGGTCATCGCTACTTGACATGGGTGGCATCAGTGGCAATGGTAAAGGTGGTCTAGTGAGGTATATAAATAATAATATTTTGCTCATGAATGTATTTTTTTAAAAAAATCTATAACACCTGCAATGCGGCGACTAGTACTAGTATCTAATAAATGAAAAAGGAAAAAAGGTGTCTCTCCTGGTTATCTCGTAGCAATTGATTTTTAGAAAAACTTTCAAGTAAAAATATAATAATAATTTCTTAACCTCATCATTAAGTCTCTAAACATCCGACCCCATTTCTCTCTTAATTACAGTGTTATACACAATCGAAATTTTTAAAAACACTTCATTTCACCGTTTCCATGATGAGGGTTTATAAAGAAAGAAAAAAGAAAATAAATTCAAAATAAAAAAAGATTCTAGGGTTTAAGAAAATCAATCTGAACCCTGGACGATAGCTTTCATTCAATCAAGATCAAGCGGCCTCTATTCTTGTAAATAAAATTGATGTGTTCTAAAACAAAACCCAAAAAAAGAGAGAGAGAGAGAGAGAATGAGAGAGAGAATTTCAAAAATGATACAAAAAATCAACATTCGAACAAATTTCAAAATTTTGTGTAAATGGAAAGTACTTGTTTAGATTTGAGAATTGATTTCGAAATTCTACATGATCGGAATAAATCAAACCAAACCGATGATTAATGGATGTGTTATAAATTTAAAAAATTGACAAAAAAAAACCCAATTAAAGGAATCTACTCCATGGCTGCCGGTAGCTTGTGGTGCTATTGAGTGTAAATTACTCTGCCCATCCTACCTGATTGTTCAATTTGCAGAATAATTTTGGATAGAAAAAGAATTAGTTCTTAAGAAATTTATGAGAGACATATATATAGGTGTTGTTTATTCGTAGATCAGTGGAACTTAGACGTACCTTTACCATGATTAAATAGATAGCTATTGATAGGACTGGATATCATTGATGAGCCCGTCGGGAATGGTTAACCCTAGCTTGACATAGTGGTGTTTTTTCCCTCGTTGGTTGTTTGCGGTTATGGAGGATGGAGAAGATGGTGATATGCAATTCCCATATGATAGATGTGTTTATATATATACAATAATGGGGATTGAATAACTCAATTATGTGACTATACATTTCAGGAGTTTGATTTCAATGACGATGAGTTTTTCACAACAAAAATTCTTATCCTCATTGAAATTTAAATTTAAATTATCAATATATTTTTCTTTTTTGTCTACGGTCAGAAATAAACGCATGATCATGATTTATTCTTTCATTTCTGGTTATTTAATTTCGTGTTAATTGTGTGTTTTGAAGACTGATTTGAATTTATTGTCGCGTGCTCATAAACCATTTTTGCTAAAAATTGAAGGACATCCTCACAATTACACAAAATGATACTCCTTCTGTCCAAAAATTATTGTCCAGTTTGAGATTTCACTTTTAGTACAATTTGAACTAGAAATGAAAATCTAAACTGGACAATAATTATGGGACGGAGGGAGTATTTAAAAGAGGTTTGGAAAAATTGACACATACAATATTTGTTGAAGTGTCATTTTAGGAATTGAGTTTGTTTTCTCTCTATTTTCTCTCTTAATATAATATACTAGATAGATACTATAGATATTTGTATTCGTTCCTGATTAGCAAGGCTGGTACGGGAAGTTATTAATCCTTTTTGGCATGTTACCCTCGGTGGACATTTTTGCTGGATTTTTCAGAGTGAACACAAACAAATTTTACATATTGTAACGGAATTCCTCTACAAACTGCAAGGTTCATTGTTTCCTGATTTCCTTCTAGCTTTGAATGGAGAAGATACCGCTGCAGCATTTAAAAATTTCTTTGGCTTTGAATATTCTTCCTTGGGGTTGGGTGACATTCTGTCCAATATGACTTGAGCTTTCACCGGTACTTACGGCTGATCAGATTATTAATCTCTCTGCTCTTTTTAAGAGAATAGGAATAAAAACAGACCAGAAATGCAGTAATATATGCCAATCTCGCAGATAAAAAATCTCACATCTCAAACACTTAAAAAAACAAATAAAGCTTATCTTCTCAAAGTCATATTACCAACAAGCGATCAATTAAATGTCCCAATAGGAATTTTGAAACAGTTTGAACATTAATAAACTGGGATTGAAGCAAATTAGTTTGGAAAAAGTCTTCCCACTGAATTACACATAAAAGGATGAACGAAAATGTTGGAGAAAAAAAAACAATACAACACGTTCAATGGTCTGATACCCAAAGAGTAGCAGTAGTGGACCACAATCTCCTTAACTGTTCCAAACCTAGCCGAAATAGATGCACAGAATCAATCAAACAAGGAAGTAATGATCTTCAGCTCTGAATTTCCATTGTCCTCTTGTACCTCCTTGATATTTTGCACTAACTCTACTGCAGTGTTTGAACAATTTACGACCTGAATCGTCGCAAGAGTTGGAATATTTTCGAGGCAGGAAGGCAACTCTTCCAAAGATCTGCAGCTCAGAAATGCCAACTTCTCAAGACATTCAAATTGATCCTCAGTAGCAGTCCAGGAGAGCAGATCCACTGATGACAATTGCAAGAATCTGAGTTTGGAGAGTTCTCCTCCTTCCATTTCCCACCTGTTTCCTTGGATGCTTACAAGAGTAAACTTGAGGACTTCAAGGTCTGGAAGTTTAGAAATGGTTGAAAGACTGCTAGCAGTCAAGTAGATGCATAGCAATGACAACTTCTTCAATGTTGCAGAGAAACTAAACTCAAACTTTATGGGTTCCGGGTTTTCACCTATGCAAGGCAGTAATATACCAAGTGATTCTAGTTGGCTCAAAGATTCTGGAACCACAACCTTGACATATTCTCCTGTTTCTTCAGGAGAAATCAAAAGGGTGCATTTCAGCTTACGGACATTTGGAAACTTTTTCAGTACGCCTTCCATGTCGCCCGGAAAAGGAATAGCAACACCAGAAAGTTTATCCAATTCACATAAATTAGGTGATGTGTCAGGATTTTCCGAAGGAAAACTACCACCTGGACCCCCTATGGAAAGATGCCTTAATTTCTGTAGATTCCAAAAAGTGGCTGGAAGTGAGAGCGCCTTGTCTTGTCTTAATTGATTCAGAATAAGAGTTTCAAGATTAGCGAGGTTACCTATCGATGGTGGGATGTGCGTCATAGAGCCTTCAATTGCCAGGAAGGCCAACTGCACAAGCATTCCTAGTTCACTTGGAAACACATCACCCAAATTTATTTCCCCCAGATCCAAAACTCTTAAGAGTTTGGCCATGTAAAACATGTATGATAAATCTTGTTGCTCTCTGATACGATAGTTAGACAGCATAGAACGTAGGTGGCAAAAGAAATTGCTCGACCTCGGGAGATGCTTTGGATTGAAGTTAATGCATAGCCTCCTAGGATTTTTTGGCCCCAAAAACTTTTTGTTGCCTCCAAGGAAAGAGCAAAAGTGTTCATGTTCTGCTCTCTGCAAACAAAAAATCATGAAGTAAGTCATGAATGCGACATCCTTTCATCCCGCCCGTGGAACTTCGTTTTGCGAGCATGAGTAAGCTCCTATCAATTAAATCTTTTAGGTAGATTTCAGCTACATCTTCAATGCCCTTCATCTCAGATTTCCGAACAAATCCTTCAGCTATCCATAGGCAAACCAACCTCTGGACAGGAACCACACTGTCTTCTGCAAATGCTGCGAAATAGAGAAAGCAAGGCCTCAAATGCTCTGGTAAGGAGCAGTAGCTCAGCTCCAACGTGTGTCGGCACTGTTCTGCACTTGAGATCATGCCTGTTCTTAAACTACCAAGAATCGTCTCCCAACCATCTCGTGCTGTGTTTGCTAAAATTCCACCTACAACAAGAATTGTTAGAGGTAATCCCTTACAGGTTTTGACAATTTTCATCCCAAGATCAGTTAATTCAGGGGGCCAACAACTCCCACCAAATAATTTTCTTTGTAATAACTCCATGCCCTCTTCAGTGAATGGTCTAAGTATGTGAGGTTCTTCGTTGGGAACAACATCATGTCGACGACTTGTCACCATAATTCTACTTCCCGTCTGATCATCAGGGAAAGCTAATTTTAAATTACTCCATGCTTCAACTTCCCATACGTCATCTAAAAAGATGAGATATCTCCGTCCTTTTAAACCGCGCCACACCTTCTCTACTAAGTCGTGATCAGAAGTGATTGATCCAGAAAATTTGTTGGGATCAATTTGGCTTAAAAGTTCTAGGAGAATTCTGTTTTTGTCCATTGTCTGTGACACGGTCGAATACGCACGAACAGAAAAATGGAGAGAAACAGAAGGATCATTGTAAATCTTTGCAGCTAACGTAGTCTTACCTTGTCCTGCCATACCCACAATGGGAACAGTCTGTAGGTTCTTTGATCCTCTCATGAGGCGATTATTAACTGATTTTGCCTCCTCAAGGTAGCCGACGAACTCATTTTTCAGTTGGGGAGACTGCTGCTGAGATGGCGGCACATGAGATTGTTGACTCAATGTTACTCCCTCCATTTGGGTTTCTAATTTCTGGAGTTGGATTTCCATCTTAACATTCTCGATGTCTTTCATGATGGAATCGAAGGATGAAAGGAAAGAATCCGATAGGTCTTCAACCACTAGGTAGTCGAAGAGATGCTCTATCCTCCACACCAGCTCCAAAACATGATCCCATAAGGCTTGGAGTTGCTCATTTTGACGGCGCAACTCCACAATGTCTCCCAAGAAAGATCTCAAGAAGACAAGTTCATCTTTAATAGTTTGGGCATGTCCCCTTGAATTCGTTTCAGCTTCACCACTGGTGAGATCCGTCAGCATTTCCACTAAAAAATCAACAAAAGACAAGGGAGCAGTGGTTGGAACGTTGTTGAACAATGGTTCTTCTGGTGCACCTTTCTCATCGCCGAGCTGCTCTGCCTGGATTATAAGCCGCCTGATTGCTTTCAACAAATCCTGAAGCCCCTGTTGTAGCTGTGCCTGCGTGTGTGTCTGGTACAGTGAGCAAATGAAGACTCCGGCATCACGTATCACGTCAAAAATGGCATCCTTCATCTTCAGATCAAAATTGGTTGGCGGCTGGGCGAGAATGAATAACAAGGATCCAAGCCTTTCATAAAGCTCCCGTTGATCCTCCGTCGAAATAAAATAGCCAGAATTAGTATCAGGAGGAAGGGCCGCCGGCGGCGCCGCCGTCTAGGAGAGGGTGGTGGGGCAGGGGCTGCTGGGCATCTAAGAGAAGTTCAGCAGCCGATGATGAGCGATATCGGATCTTACCGTTCCCCGGCGGCAACACCTGATTCCCTTGAACCGACTCCAGCTCTTAATTTGTCTGCCCACCTCACCACTCAATTTGGTTTGCTCCCACCTAATAAGAACAAACACCCAGTAGGAGATTAGAAATATGTATGATTTCGGGTTTTGGGTGGAATGAATGAATAGGACAGAAACTGCGGGGAAAATGCTGGTTGAATTGGATCAGGACCAAATCAAACCAAATTGAAAAACCTTGTGATGGAGTTGATTGACTCAGCTACCTATATATTATATGTCTGCGAGAAACCGAAGAAGATGAACAACCAAATCAAGAATGATTTAGGGGGCCAAGGCTAAGAGCAATGGGATTTAATTCTCTCTCTCTCTCTCTCTCTCTCTCTCTCTCTCTCTCTCTCTTTTTACTTCCCTCCTTTCTCAGGTTAATAATTTGTTTTGTGCTTTCCCTGACTCCCTAGATCTGATGAGTGATGATGATAAAAGTGTTGCTCCTTTTCTTCAACGTTACACTTTTTTAACTCACTCAACAGTGTATGGAGTACTCAGTAATACTAGTACATACCAATTTGATTTTTTTTTTTTTTTTCCTTCAGCCTCATAATAACACTACTTTGTTTCATTACTTTCATAGCAATACTACTTTGTTGAGAAGTACTCCTTTGCATTCGTGCTCCCTTATAAGTCACAAATAAAAACTAAAATTTAATTTAAATCTATATATGTTATAAACAAACTCCGAAGAAATATTACTCTTTACGTCTCAAACAAAAAAATTTTGAAAAATTTGAAAAAGAGCAATAATAAACTTAGAAGAAATGTTACTCCTTACGTCCAACAACCAAAAAACAAAAAAAGAGTCACGAGGGAGAATTACGCACGCAATTGAGGAAAGAAGAGAGTGGAAAATGAAACCAAAAAAAAGAAGAAAAAGAGTGAAAAAAGGAAACACTTCGAACCATGGGGAATTAACTAACAGAATTTGGTGACTGATAACAAGATACCCACCACATTTTAGGGTTCACTCAGTTCCTCCTAATTCCTACCCTTACCTCTGATCCAACATTAACATTTGAAACATGTACATCAAACCCAAAATGAAAATGGATCGCAATTTACATTCGAAAACTGCTGTTACCCTAATCGCTTTCAGATTCTCCGGCGGATATGATCATATGAGTTTCATCCTTCACAAGTCCACTATTTGGTATTTGCACAGGGCAAAACAGCTGAGACATTATATAATGCCAGCATAAGACGACACCCTAGTTAGCACGAACAAAATACAGATTAAAACATATGGAAGAATACATCAACTGAACTAACTAACCTACCTACCTACCTCAGAATATGCATACCTACCAATCACAATTTGTATACACAACAATGATGGCACGACACACTTTTAAAACAGGAGGAACAACGTCAACCCAACACCCCCAAAGTAAAAGTGTCCAATCAGAGCTCTGAAAGAATTGCAGGAATATAGTGCGACAATTCCGCAGTTAGAGACTGGAACCCATTGACAAGCTGTGTGTGGAAGTCCTGGTCTTCCTCCCCAATCAATCTAAAATGAACTCGGATAGCCCGCTTGCAAACAGCCATAAATTTCAAGAGAGCAGCTATCAGTTGTTGCAATTCCTGCAACCGCAGCCTTGTTGCCGGTTCACCAGAAAGGAAGGCCGTGCATACACTCAGAACTCCACTATTCACCTGTAATTGAGCCAAGTAACACGATCAACAAGAGACTATTTGATTAGACGAAACAGGCAGTCACAACCAAGGAAAATAATACATTCTAGGAATAGCCGAAAAGCAATATAATTGTCCCATACACAAACTACCGGATCAAGTAAATAACCTAAACTCACTTGAACAGCAACGGAGCCTTGGAGTATCCTTTGCAAACTCTGCAGCCTTGAAAGTTGATCTCCTTCAGAGCTGCGAGGCTCTTCAAGTTCATTCCGCAATGCAGCTGTGCGAGTTTCGATCATTCCAATAGCATTCTCAACTGGAGAAAACTCTAGCGATTCTGATTTTGTAACCAACAGCCTATTTACCAATGCAGGGAAGGAACCTTCAGTTTGCAAGACTGTACGTCGCTTCCACTGGTCTTCCAATCCACCTTGGGTCTTTCCATTTTTGGTAAATGGAGTATCAAACAAAAAGCGGTCGAAGACCCGTGCACGGACGCTTCCAGTAGAAAGGGAGAATATCCGTTCCCTTCTGCTACCTAAATCCTCATCTTCCATGACTGGATCAACAGCAGTTATCTGCAAATAGCAAACTCCAGGCTGCAACTCATCCGCTTTGACCTGCCGAGAATCTGGAATTATATGTAATGTAGTTCCATCCATTCTTGACTCGTATATATGACTGAGTTTCTCCATAATGTCGCCCAGTCGAACATCACGAGGTTCTCTGTAGACATACTCTTTCCTGTCTAGCTTCCCAAATTTATCCCCATAAAATCCCACCCTATAATATGTAGCATCTGTGAAAGGTATAGGGCTTGATTCTTGCTCAAGGATGGATTCGTAAATATTGGTCAACATCGTGTGGCATTTCGCAAGCTGCCCAAATGACCTTCTGCTTTTATAAACAGGAATTACGAGTTCTAAAATGCTAGCACAGAAATGGTAGAGCTCCGCTTGAGAGAAAAGCTTATTAGCAAGCTGCAGATATTTTACAGCCGAGTCAACTGTAAGTTTTGAAGCGCCATAGCCTTCCACCTCCGCTGCTGAAGCCTCAGAAGTTATCTCACTATTGACCATTGGGCAAATCTTGCGCAGAGCAGTGACATGCTCGCTGCTCCAGACACCATCATTCCGGCCCACGAGGGCCTGCACATTTTATGTACATCAATATTTAACTCTTCAAGAAACTCCTTGCTTAGTGTTCGTGTGTGTTGGGGGTGGGGGGTTAACCTGCATTACGACGCCAGCAACAGCAACTGCACACTGTGCCGCTTCAGCCCAGGACTGCATTTCTTGATGTGCATCACATAAGTGCAGTAACCACATTATATGAAGATCTGGCACAGGAGCAAAGGCCATTGCGAGTTTGTAAAAGCCCTCTGCAGCAGCAGCATATCGGTCCACCGTCATAACAGATGCCTACAAACGAACCATTAGATAGCAAAAATTAGTACAACTTAATTTTCATAAAATATAGGGAACTGCTGATGAATGATGTCAGGTTATACCAGTAGTGCATGTTCCAGGCTAGCATCAAGAGCCAAAAGAAGACACTCAGCAAGATGTTTGACTTCTGACCAGGACCATCGGTTTTCTGATGAGTTTTGGTGAAGAGACACAAGTGCATTATCGGGGAGGCCACATTCAGTTAACAAATGCAGACTCTCGGATTCATCTGCCATTTCCCCAAGAGACTTTCTCAACCGGCGTGCCTCGCCACTTTCTTCAAGTGTTCCATCTGATTTCATCTGGGTCACTTGCACCTCAGACATCAACTCAGAAAGAGTAATAGTCAACATTACTCTTAGTCGTGCTGTTTGCATGAAGTACGAGAAAGAGCTCTGCAATTTTGAAAGGCATGAACAAAATTCAACAAAAAATAGTTGAAACAACAAAACACAAAGAGTAAAACCCACCAAAAAAGTGTCATACCCGAACAAGGATCTGAAGACCAACAACAGCTCTTTTTCTAACATTATCGTTCCGAAAAACTGCCAGACGTAGAAGATGAAATGCAACTTGTTTCAAGAAACGATCATTTTCCCGTGCCATTAATGTTGCACCGTTAAGTTCAAAGACACTGTTGAACACAGGAAAGAAAGCTCTCCAGAACAGCAGGGGTTGGTTGCGCGAGAAGACATTCATAAATATAGAAGTGATGCAATCAAGTTTTCCATAATCAGTCGCAATGCTGTGGGAAGCTGCTGTTCTTGAAAACTTCTCAGCTATTTCCAGAACTTGAAGACTGACAGCCGCAGTAAGGTTTTCTTCCCAAAGCTCCTGGAGTTGCATGTATACATCAGAAAGCAAAATTAAGTCTCAAGAGAAACACTTAGTAAGACAAAATAATACCAGTTTTTGTCTCAAGACCGGGTGCAAAGATTCTCTTAGTGCTTGAGTAGAAGCACCAATCCTAGAAGATTGTGCCTGAGCAAGGGTTTCCCTCAAAGAATATGGCTGACTAGGTGAACTTAACTGGGAGCTCACTCTCTGCCACAAGTAGCCATTTTCTGGTGTTCCTTGAGGCTGGATAGAGGAAAGATTTTAAATCTTAATTCAGCGGGAATGCAAGAAAAAGAAGAAAAGAAAAGAAGGGAAAAAAAAAAAAGAGAGAGAGAGAGAACCAGGATAGAACAGAAAGTGCATACAAATACTAAAATTCAGAAAATACAGACGATTTCAACAACTACATACCCTCACTTCATGTCTTGCTGCCTCAGAAAGATAGTGATTAATTGCAGGTGACAGCCTTTCAGAATATTTTGGAGAGGAGGGTTTGTCCTGGCCAGGACTGCGAGAGCTGCTATTGATTAGCATGCTATCAGCAGGTCTTCGATGCTGTAAAATTTGTTGCTACAAGTTAGTTAACAAGGTATGAATTATAGAAGCCCATTGCAAGATGGAGAAAAACCTGATCTCAAGCATGTTTATGATGTACAAATTGAAATTTTCAAGGGGGGAAAAAAAGATTTAAAAATAAATTCTTGCAAATTTCAATGCAAGAATAGATTGAGGATATGTCAAGTCCATCAATTGTATTACAAATTTCAATAATTTTATTAATTTAATCAATTATCCTAATACAACACTTACGTTGGCTAAAAATATACAAGTGCCACATCTGCATATATATAATATATTGTTGTTTAGAGATTGTTACAAATGCAACATAATCATCACTGTATGTCCACGTATGTCCATACATATTGTCTGAGCCACCAAACATCATAAATATCCATATCAGAATGAAGCAATGTTGCAAAAAGATAAACAAAGGACACAAAGGAACAGTTTAACCTCAAAATGTATAAGGCACCAAAAGTTTGAAAAATAATCTAGTACGAGCAATGCTGTGCTGCCAAGCCTTTACGAGAGAGGCATCATCCAAATTGCGTAGGATTTGCAAAATAATGATCAACACTTCACGTTTTTCTACGCCACTCAGATTGTAGAAAACAGGCATTTCGTCTAAGATCTGCATGGACCGAACTTTCAATCATAAGATGACTATGCCTGGCCAAAGCAAGTAACACAGGAAGATTCTGAACTCCAATTAAATATCTGAATATATGAAGGTGATGACAACAAAATCAATTACATTATAGAATTTAAAAGCCAAGGGTCTACAAGAAACAACAAACGTGGAGTAATCTTCAATTACTCAAAATCAATTAAATGAGTCACAGAAGATAACCTCAATACTGCAAACAAATTTGAAACTAAAGGAAAAGCTTGCTGGTAGCTTTTCTAGAAATTTGGGCATCATTTATAGGCACCAAAATATCACACACTTTCGCTCATTACCATACTCACACTTTTTGTGCAATAGGTCATTATTCAGTTTAGTCAGATGTTTTCAGGGGGGGGGGGAGTACTGTCAAATAGCTGCATAAATAATTGTCAGTTACCCAATAATCAACTTGATTTGACGGGGAAAAATGCTCTGGATTCACTTTTTCGAATCCACAATTGATCTGCCGAGCAGAAGTTCCAAAGACTACTATAAAATGAGAATCCAAGTAGCAAAAACATTTCTCACATGTAATAAAACGTACACATCTGAGCAACCAACGGGAAATATAACTGGGCAATATAGAGCTTGTCTTCAGGCTTCTGGTAGCGAACATCAAACTCATGCTTGCAAAGAAGAACCACCAGAATTCTAGCTGGCTAGAAATAGACCAAAAGGATGTAAGAGGTATGTCAAAGACAACGTATTCATGCAGTTAAAAATATGCCAAGTGAATTAGGATCAGAGGATAAATAAATAAACAAATATCAAGAAACCCGAAGTACACTCACTTTTGCCCGCATAGATAGATCATCATGGTCCCATGTAAGGAAAATCTCTTGTATTAAGACAGATGAAAGGTAGTTCCTGCATTAGGAAGGCGAAAATTAGAAAAGAAGTCCAGCGTACACATATAATTGAGATCCTTAAATCAACACAACCAAAAAAAAAAAAAACATAGATGTTTTTTGAACATATAAAAAATTAAGTTGCATATTAGATTTTTAAGAATAAAAGAACCTAAGAAATACATATTATGAAAATCTTATATTTAACATTGTAATATTTTTAATTCAGTTAGATATTAAATTAAATAATTGTACACAATATATTACAATACATTCTTCTGAATGTAAGTATATGAGTACCTCCAGTAGGTGCGACACAATTAGACTTCTTCTGGTGCCAAAATTATAAGATATTTACAATTTTGTCCTTTGGTTTAGCGATTGGAGAATATTTAATGCGGAGACCATCCCGGAGCTCCATGAATTCTTAAATTAACTCCTTTCTCTTGTTTGATTCTTAGAGTTTCTTCTTCATTTTTTTTCCAACCTATCCGTGCAATTTTTTTCTCTTATTTGATTCTTATAGTTTCTTCTTCATTTTTTCGACCTATCCGTGCAATTTTTGAATGTTTATAATGGGTTAGGCTTGGACATGGATCATTTTTAAGTGATTGGTATAGAAATAAAAATTGTTTGATAATAGAGGGAGGAGTAACAGTTATAGTTTTTGGAAGGATTTGTGGAGGACGGTGTGTATGAATGTGGTTGATGTAATTTAAAATAAAGAGGTAACTGGTGCTTGGTAAGTGGTTGTCGGTAGTAGTGTCGTTGGCTAGGAAGAAGAAGAAGCAGGATGGCAATTTTTTTTTTTTAAAAAAAAACAATTAATTTTTTTTTTGGAATTCTAATATTATCTGTAAATGCAAAATTTTCGTTCCATCTACCTTCAACAGTTACTTCTAGTCAATTGATGATCTTAGCTAGTTAGGGGTTAAAATTATCCATTTTTTAGAAATATCATATGTAATTATCCAATTTGAAAATTTTGAAAATTCTCATCCAGGAAGTAAACGTTAGTTTATAGCTAGTTTTATTTCTATTTTTGTTTACATCCAAAATTACTTTTTTCTCCATTCTAGTAAGTCCAATGTAATATTAAAATTAGTATTATGCTACATGTTGGACAAACTAAGTAATATTCATCATTAATAAATATCTAAATTTATCACCATTAATAATATGATGATATGATCTCTAGTTAGTTACCTAAGTTTTATTCATCTTTTGCAATATAATTTTTATTTTGGGTCAAGTCGTGTTATTTAACTATCACGATATTGCACATTTGTGTGTTTAATATTGCACGTTTGAAAAAAAATAAAAAATAAATAAAACCACACATACACACACACATTGTACGCTCTTTGACAAATGTTTGTGAACTCTTGAACAATACCAAAAAAATAATTTTAAAAAAAAAATCTTTTATTTAAGAACAATATTACATAGGAAAACTTCAAGGATTCCCATTTGCTTTTGAAACAATGTGTTAGGCGGTTAAGACACTTGACCCATTGAGTGTGGATGGAACTATTGGACCAAGACTAATATTGAAACGCGATTAAAGTTGGTTGACCGACCAGATATGGAAAAGAATTGAATGTGGAAGGACACACCAACTGGGTAGTATACACCAGTAAGAGATGCGGTGGCTCCACATAATCTCAGCACAAGGCAAAATGACACGTGGTCAGAGAAAGGCTCTTTGTGATTGCATCAATGGTTGGAATCAACGCTTGTTGCCAATCAGATGAGTGGCACGATAGGCAACAAAATCAATATAGGGGCCCGCCAAAAAGTTTTATGAAAACACAACAATTACATAGAAGAAGTGAAACTATCAAGAGTGTATTAAATAAAAGAAGTCGTTGTCTTCCCTAACATAAAAAAAAAAACTAAAAGGAATAAGAATGCATTTGAACAGATAAAAGCGTGCGTGATCTAATCAAGTTACATTGTAGATTTTTTTAGAACTAGCTAACTTGTGTACCATGCCATGCATGTTAAAATTAATCATGCCCAGTTGATACATAATTTTTGAAAAAAAAAAAAACCTAACATTTTAAAGATCAATGTAAACATTTGTGGAAGTTTTCAGTACATAGACAAGTAGAAATAAGTTGATATTGCAACTTTTGCTAATCGCTTGAAAAGCAGGAACACAGAATATGTAGGAGTACTCAAAGTTGCATCAGTGTTGTTAGATAAAGAAAGATTTTAGTAGAACTTTTGGTTTCTGACAAAAGAAATAAAAAAATAAAAAGTTACTACCTTTTTTTTTAATCAAACCAGGTAAGTACCTGGAAAATTTATTAATAGAGCAAAAATTCTCGGGGCAGTGCTTAAGACTTATCCCGTACAAAGAGAAAAGTTACTACCTATCAAATGAACCAAGTTCCTAATGGAGTTAATAGGACATTAGATGGAAGGAACTTCCAAGGTGATTCCTACGTATTGAAAGCGTCAAAAATTGAAGCCAATTCACTAAACTCTCTTCTTGCTTCTACAAGTGTTATGTATGATGCCAACAAACAGAATCTATAAAAAAAAAAGAGCAAAACAGGTGCAAATGAAATCAGCAACTTGGAAATTCCTAATGCAGAATTCTAATTTGCTCAAAATATTGTTTTGCTCAAAAATGAAAATCTAAATGGGACAATCTTTTCGCGACGGAGAGAGTATCATTAAGAATTCCATAATTTGAAATCATAAAGTAGTAATTGGAAACAACCTAGAGAAACGCTGCAAAAGCACGAATTAAAAAAAAACCAAAAAATGTCACAGAGGAGCATCAAAAACCTACACAGTGAATGATTTATTTCCACAATAACATAGTATAACTTCCTATTTATAATTCCATAATTTCAAAATCATAAAATGGTAGTAGGAAAAACATGAAGTGACACAATTACTAGCATGGATTAAGCAAATCAAAAAGTGTCAGCGAGAAGCATTTGAAACCTACCCATTGAAGAAAGGAGGCAGAAACATCATAACTAATAAAAACAGCCTCTTTCTAGAAAGAAACAACAATCAAGAACTCCCAAAAATCCTTCAGATTATTTGAAAATTTCAATGCTCTATCATGATTCAAAAATTAGTCCTCGCAGTAATTTAACCAAAAAAAAATACAACATATATCATTAGTTAGTGAATTATTCCTACAATAATTATAAGACCATAATTGAATTACATAAAGAAATCGAAGATTGCAAAATATACTACTAATCTTGACCAAGAGGAACGGCTGAGGGATGCCTTTTGAGTTGCAAATACGACTTAAAGAAGAAGCGATGTTTGTCATAGAATTCTAATCGGTTGTTCAACGGGAATATAAGAAAGGAACAGGCAGAAAATTGGGATTTGAGAGGGAAGGTAAAAGAGGAGATTGAATGCATGAGGAACCACAAAAGTTTTTAACAAGAAAAAAGGAGGCACACTGATCACGACGATTCGGC